TCCGCTCCCCCCTCCCCGCCACCCCGGCCCGCGCCTCCGCCCGGGCCTCAGTTTCCCCTAAGCGTAGGGTGCGGGGAGGGGAGAAATAACATCTTTGTGTCACCTTATGCCGTGCTTATGCTCCTTCCCCCTCGTGCTGCCGGGCCCGGAGGGGGGGCGTGTGGGGGTCGAATCTCTACCCCTCTCAGTGCCTCTGTTTTCCCACCTGTGAAATGGGCGCAATGGACCGTTGTCGCTTTGAAAAAAAAAGGAAGGCCGCTGAGGTTCTTGCCCCTCCGCTTCTTTATTGTTTTGCTCCTCGTGGAAAAGGAGAATTGGAAAGCAAGGAAACTTTGTAGCCACGTAGTGGCAACTACCTCGAGGCAGGCGCGAATGCCTTTGCTCCTGGTGTGATGCGCCGTGTTAGGCCGAACCGTGTTCAGGCCGAGCTGGGAGACGATCAACCTGGCAGCGTCTTTGCCACTGAACTGAACCTGGCGGTCATTCCTCACCTCATGTACAGGCAGTCCTCAACTTACAATGTTGCGAGTTATGACGTTTCGCGCGCTTACGAGGTTTATAAATTGATACCCTATTTCAACTTTCTGACTTACAAAATTTCAAGTTACGTTTCGCACTTACGGCATTTATAAATTGACACCATTTCAACTTTCAACTTACCATGATTTGAGTTAGATTTTGCACTTACGAGGTTTATAAATTGACACCGTTCCAACTTTCAACTTACAACGTTTTGAGTTATGTTTCGCACTTACAAGGTTTATAAATTGACACCCTGTTTCAACTTTCTGACGTCGGTTTCGACTTGACAACGCTTGATCTGACGCGACGCCACGTCAGCGAACACGTTCAAGACTCCGGAAAACCCTGCAGCCGGACTCCGGAGAAGACTCCAGCCATGACCCGTCAAAAAGTCCATCCGAGAGCCCTTCAAAAAGTCCAGCAAAGTCACCTCAAAGAAGTCCTTCCAAATCAATAGGATTGCTATTTACAGTATAAATACATCAATATAGCTATATTATGCATCTATAATTGATTAAATACAAACTTCTTGGTTATTTTTGGTGAAAATAGGGTATCCCTTGGCTCAGGAACCAATCCCCCATTTGTAACATTGCTTCCTATGGGAAAATTGGTTCCGAGTTACAATGTTGCAACTTAAGAGACGGTTTTCAGGAACCAATTGTGTCTAAGTCGGAGGACTGCCTGTATTTGGGGTCAGGAAGGAATTTTACCCTGTAGGGACTGTGAGAGATGTTGCCTTCTGCAGCGGGGGGCATGGCCCTCTACTGGGGTATATTGAAATCAGAGCCAATTCTAGCGGGTTGCGGGGCCCCGGGGTAAATCAGCCTGTGCAGGGGCCCCTTAACTCTGTGTGGGGCGGTGGTACCCCTGTGCTTCTTCCATGGCGCTGGGCTGAGCTGCCAGCTTAGGGAGGGCCCCATGGAAAGGGCTGTGGCTGCTCCACCTGGCTCTGCGGGGCTCCCCCAAAGCGTGCGGCCTGGGGCAGTCACCCCAATTCACTGTACCCTAGGGACAGCTCTGATTGACATATCTATCAGCATATATTGGCAATGTTTCGTAGAAGCGGGACGTTGGGTGCCGTGGTTCCCCGGCTGTGCAAGTTAGGGTGTTCGCTCTGTGTTGTGTCAGGGTTGAGGGTTGTCTTATGTAGAGTTTAGTTCATGGTTTGTATGGGATGGTTTGGGTAGGGATGATCGTGCCTCAGGGAGGGGGTTGGACTAGATGACCTCTGACTGAGGCCAAATGTGTACCTTGGCCACAGAGACATTGTCAGCTCCAAGTCTGGCTCCTTTGGAAACACCTTGAGCTCCTACATCTGGTCAGGAGCCTCTGTCCCAAAACCGGGATACCTTTCTGTTTTTCAGGCACGCTTCTCTCTCCAATGTGGCGCTCTGAGATTTATTAAAGCAACAGCAGTGGCTGGCACGCTCACCAAAGGAAGCCATGGCCCACCCCCACTTTGCCCCCAGGGCTGGCAACTGCCCCCAAAAAGAAAGAAAAAGATAAAACAATTTAGAAAAAAGGTTGTGATTCCAGCTGGAGTCATTTCACTCACAACAAACTTACCCATTACTTGTAACAACAGCAGGGGAGCAATTTGAAGGCATCAACAGGAATGCTGTCTCTAGTTTATTTGTATTTGGGAGGCCCTCTGAAGCTCGAAGACAACAGTCTCAGAGGGGTTCAAAGCAGAGACCAGTCAAACTTCAGCCTGGCCAAGCTGCAAGATAAAACTGTCCTTGGTTCTGTACACGTATTTCCCTTCTCCCTCCCCCCTTTTGTTCTAATAAGCTGCTGTACAAGAAATGAGCAGTTACTGAGTCCCTGCTGTATAGTATGTGCTGACACTAATAGCTCCTGCTTCCTTTCAGCATTAATGTTGCTATCCCTATGCCTCAAATACCAGAAACATCCCTTTGTTTTCCTTCTGCCCCTCCCCACCTGTGTCCTTTTATTACATGAGGCACCCAAATGTAATGGAGTTGCTTTCTGCTGCATCGCTAAGACATACCCAACACCACTCTCAGGTCTCCTGACTTGCATGCACTTAGTAGCTACACAAGGCTTTTCAGCACTCAGCACATGGAGAGGAGTGGGGCACGTTTTCATGGTGGTATGCCTTCGCACAGTGTAGACATCTGTGTGAGAGAGAAATACATTCATTATTTTTGCACCTCTGGAAAAAACAGAAGCATAGAAAGCATCTGCCTAGCCAGCTACTTCTACAGACTACATCACCAGGTGCTTCACACTGGCTGCACCTACCTGAGATGCTTATGCGCAGTAGCTTGTTACTACTGCACAGTAGCATCGCGGGGCATGAACCATGACGTGACGCTACCGTGCAGTAGTAACAAGCTACTGCACAGTCAGTGTCACCATGAAGCCATGCAGAGTTGCTACTGTGCAGTAATGCTGGTTACTGCACAGTCACTGAGCACCTGTATATGCAGGCGTATAGTATGTGGCTAGTGTACAATATATTTACATGTGTTGTTGGCAAGCCTTCGATTCAAGGATGATTTCTACCACAGCTCACTGATGGGTCTTGATGTGACTTAAGAGTCCAATCCTTAAGCCACAGATCTGTCTGAAGAAACTTCAGGTCTTACTGCAGGAAAGAGTAGCTAGAATTTCTGGGATTTCTCTCATTTTCCTTCTTCTGCTCTCTCTTCTTTGCTCTGAGGGCAAAATGCTTGACTTCAAAATGGGCTGCCACTTTGTTGAGGTTGTGGCACCATTGGAGTTGGTTGGCAGCCAGCTCCTCCCAACTCTTGATGTCGGCATCTGTTTTCTTTTAAAGTCCAGCATGCATCCCAGCATGGGGTGCTGGGAATTCCTTGGCTCCCATGCTTCCTCATGCCTCCTAGGGGGGTGTGTCTTTAAGTAGG